TGGCACAGAGGATGGGAGAGTGGTATTATATTTAATAAACAAAAATTTCAATTCGGGGAATTTATTAAAAATATTTAAGGAAATATCTTTATTTTGAAAAAAGCTTGAAAGATCATCTTCACAGAGATCTTCATTCATTTCCTCATCAAAAAAAAATTTATCTTAATCTGAAAATATTCTAGTGTGTGTATTGGATAAAGGAATCAAGCCTGTTCTTTCTTTCTCATAATCTTTTCTCAAACTGGAAATAAGTTCCAGCATTCTTCCTTTATTGACCTCTAATTTTATCCAGGGCCAAATTTAAATAGTGGGTGTATTGCCGATAGTATATAATCATCATCATAGCTGTGTTTTGAATCTATTGAAAATATGATAGTCAAAATATAAATTATAAGCAATATTTGAACTGTATACATTTTATCTATGGCTTCCAGGATTGAATCAATAAGCGGCTTACAAAACTTAAAATTATTTAAAGCCAATTTTTTAAGTTTTGATATTATAATGGTTATAGTGGGAGTGAGATATCCCAAATGCATATTATCTTCACTCTCTAAAATTGTAAGAGCCGTAGCTATCGGTTCCATAACCTATAAAATCATATATATACATATCATATTTTAATTAACACTAACCATATAATATTCATCTATGAACGACTTGTCGTTATCTGAAAATCTTTGTAATCCAGATTTGTCGCAAGATTCATCGAATTTTTGATAATTCACCTTAATAAGACTATTTATTAATTTTACAGAGTTATAGAAAGAATTCCATCTTGTTATAACTGGTTTAATTAAATATCTTCCCAAATTTTCCTTAAATATAGCAGAACAGTTAGAAGATTGCCCATGTTTATTCCACAAAAGCTTACATTTAGAAAATGTAATTTTTGAAATGGTTTTATAATGCACATTGTTGAGTGCCTTTTCAGTGTCAATACTTGCAATTAGATTTAAGTGTGTGCTGAACAGGAATGATGCTTAGGTAAGATTGCCCATGTTTATTCCACAAAAGCTTACATTTATAAAATGTAATTTTTGAAATGGTTTTATAATGCACATTGTTGAGTGCCTTTTCAGTGTCAATACTTGCAATTAGATTTAAAGTGTGTGCTGAACAGGAATGATGCTTAGGGTAAGTATACATTACTATCATTAATATTTTGATCTTCAAATAGATCAAATAATGGCAGAGGAACTATTTCATCATCTGATTCTTTTCCTTGTTCATAAACTCTAATAAATTTTTAATAAATATATTATATTATTTTTTATACTTGAAGGCTTTTAAATAATTTCGATCATTATCGGTAATGCATTTGGTCACTTTATTTTGAATCTTATATATGGCAAAAATTTCAAAGATTATTTTTGCTAGATAATCATATGTATGTTTTTGGTTTAGCCTTCTACAAGCTAAGCAGGCTGAAACCCTCTAATGAGTGTTTGTTGATTGGTTTCAATTTTTTTTTATTGCTCAAATTTTGATTTATTTCTTTTATTCATGAAGAATGTATAGTCTATAATTTTTTAATTTAAATATTATTAATTCCAGAGTTTTTTTTAAAAAATAACTAAGCTTTTTGAATAATTGAAGATAAATCTTTTCAAAATTTAATTGCATTTTTTATCCCTCACTAAGCTTATTGGAAAACATTAAAATAAATTATAATTGCCAAAGATAATTTTTCAATTTATTATCTTTATTAGATCAGAATTATCATATAAAAAGGAATCAGGAAAAATATCTAGGTTCAGTTCTCTAAAGCAAAATTTCAAATTCTGATATAAAAATCTTGACAGAATAGAGCACTCTTTGAGACATAAAATGATTTGCAGAACTTTTCCATGTGAATTACACTTTAGATTCCCTGCCTAATATCAAAACATTGTTTTTTTATATTTTATTACCTTACATATTAATACCTGCACTAAAGAAAGGTCATTTTCAATTTTAAAAAGGTTAAATAATCAAATCTATCTCAGAGTTATCACTTTTTAAATTCAAATAATAAATTGTAATATGATTAAATTATAATATGTTCTTTTAGTATTAAAATTTTTATATGCAATACTTAATAATAATAAATTCTTAATCATAATATTTATATGTTTTTTATAAAGGTTTTGCATTTGCAATAAAAGTTATTTTTATTTTGATAATATAATCATTTGTATTAGTATATATATTTTTTAATTTTTAATGTAATAATCTGTATAAAATTTATACATTTCAAATTTTATTGTGTACTATCATTAAAATAAATACATGGTTAAAAAATAATTATATATTAATTCACTCTTACCTTCAAATGTTTTTTCAAGTTTGAGCTACTTGACATTGACGTTGAAATATTTGCATTGGGACATAATTTACATTTACAAAGTGTAGACTTGTACCAGGAATCTTCTTAATTGGTTTATAATATAATTCAAATTGGGGCCAGGGAAGGGTTAAGTACTATGGACATAATATTCTTTTAAAATAAATTATAAATTAATTAATAATATCATTATATTTACTTTGAATTTTGATTGAATATTAATTTCGACTGATAATTTAACAACGAGAATTTAAAAAAAAATGTGGAACTTGGAAGTGGTTGATATGAATTAAAACTCGGCTTAAATTATTAATATTAAGAAATAAAAAATAAATAAAAGTAATTTTTTAATACAATAAAATTGGTTTTTCTTTTTATTGATATTTTTTAAAAAAATATAAAGTAACGTTTTGCGTTACCTTTACTCAAAAAAAGAAACGCGTTACCGTTACTCGTTACCTTTAGATGAAGGTAACGAATGGTGTTCCTTTTGACGTTATTTTAAAGCACTAGTATAAACTAATTAACAAATTTAAATCAAGATGACCATTTCAATTCTCTAGGCATAAAAAAAATTAAAACCTTTATTGGAAAACAATATAACAGAAGAGAGATTAGTTGAAGTTGAGATTGTCAAAAAATTATTTGTTAAAAGTTTAGAAAAAAGGTAACAAAAACTGTTTCAACAAATTTTGTCAAATTTCTATACCAATATAAAAATGCATTTCCAAATGTTTTTTAATATTCTGTAACAGTTTAAATGATCCACATCGAGTTGTAAGTCAATTTTTTAATCATTAGAGAGAATTATTAAATTAGATAGACTTCGAATGGTGATATAAGAAAGGCCAACTTGGTTTTATTAGGACATGGGAAAAACATTACTAATAGGCGTAGTCAAGATTTTCCTGGGGGGGAAGGATTAATAAATTTCTGTAAAGCTTCACCCCAGACCACTTGGTGGGCTTTGGTCTAATTTTTCCCGGCCTTCAGCCGGTTTTCCTTAGAAAATATTTTTATAGGATAGAAGTTTACGTTAATAAAAGCAATTTATTATTATTTAAAATGTACGAAATTGGTTACCAATTTAATAAATTGTTATATTAATTCTTTCGTTTTATTCATAATACATAAAATAGTCAAAATACAATCACAGAAAAAGATATATGCAAAAGAATATTGATAATATCACCATAAATGTTAGATAGCTAAACCTTAACATTATTCAACCATCAATAATAATTTAAATTTTATCATATTCTCATGTATAATTATATTGTTAATATATTTAATTCTTCTCATTGAAATTATTAATCAGCATGAAATATTTAACCAATCATTATTTATTTATAAACACATAATACGGAAACAATTTAGATCATCATACCATTTGAAATATTCATATACCATTTTCATTTGTGTCAAATTAAATATTTTTCAATGTCGACTGCACTAATAATACAAATACACACAAGTATTATTTATTTATATATGTAGACTGATTATAAATTCTCACAATGGGTTATTCCATAATTTATACATCATATAGTAACAAATGATAAAACATCCATACACATTTCGACGGAAATAATCATAATAATCTGGATGATGCTACAAACTCAATATCTCTTAGGTAGCTAAACATTACCCGATATTATATCATTATATTTATAATATATTTTTTATTATATCTATATTAAAATAATTTATAATTTACTGAAACCAAGAGATGATATCAAAAAATAAACTGTCATTTTTATATATAAATGTTTTTTTCCAAAAAATATGAATTATAGTAATTATTTTAAGTTTAAAAAACTTTTAACCTTTACATTCTTTCTTTCAAATTATTGTATAAGATATATGCATATATTTTGAGGTACAGGAGATTGGGAGAGGGCTAAGGAGGATATTTCTTATTAGCTTAAAATGATATTCACCAAAAGTGACATATTTCAGAAGGGGGAGGTGATTTCCCCTTGCCCCCCCCCCTCCCGGCTGTGCCTATGGCTGAAACTATTAATTTTGGAAATATTTTAAAAGACATTTAAAAGTACATCTCATCAACCAAAATAAAACTTTTAATGTTTTATTTTTATTAGTTTTACACTACTCAATCATTGATCATAATATCAATAGTATATAATTATAAATATTTTCTTTTACATATATTTTATAAATGAATCTCCTAACAAGTATTATACAAGCACATTTAAACTATATCAACGTTATTATATATTTGTAAAATCAACTTATTACTTTCCAGCTATAAATCAATTCTCATCTTCCATCTAATTTTATAAACATATTATATTTGGAATATTTGTTCTATCGCGTTGAAAAGAAATTCTTAACTGCCTATCCAAAATTTTTGTCTGCACCCCCCTCCCTAATGGGTGAAGCTAGAATCAGACCTGCTGCATTGCTGTAATAAATTCAATTTAATACATTAGCTTTAATCGTCATATAAATAAGAAAATTGTAAACTGCCAAAAAGTTCTTTCCAAATTAATACAAATTTCTGAGTGTGTATTATACGTAATAATAGTTATAAAACATTTAGTTATGAAGTTGCATGAAATTATATTCGATTTGAACAATTATATTGATTGGTTTATTTCCGCGACAATTATTATAAAAAATATATTAATCAATGTCGAATAACATAAAAAGGTAAATTAGTAATATATTATATAATATTAACAAGTATCAAATAACAATGATGGAATTAATATTTAATATATATGTATAGTATATATTTATTCCATTCGAAGGGTAAAACCGAAGATAAGAGAATATAAATATTAAATTAATTGATCAAATGACTAATTTTGTCAAACATTTGTTTTAAGTTTTTAAGGACTAAGGTTAAATTAAATTTGAAAATTATTTTCGGTTGCTATTTCATTGAAAAAAATTAAACGCGCCGAGAATATTCTTTATACCTTTGAGCAGTAAAAAAATGAAATTTTTGCACGTCCAAAATTTAAACAATTTTTCATTCCTTATTTTTACTAATTATTTTAACGTTTTTAAAAATTTACAACTCAGAGCTACGAAATTTTTGGGCTTTGTGTGGAATGCAAAATGTTTTATAAAGGATGTGATCTATTTCACTTGGCAAAGGGCTGTTAATGCATGCAGCTTTATATTAATGTTATATTATTCTTTTCCAATATATTTTTCGTTAATATTCATATATGAATGTAATTTGGAATGAATTATTTACGAAGAGTGAATGAGCAAGTGATTAACCAAATACTTCATTTAAAATTGTACTTGTGAAAAAAATAAAAATATTTAGCCTTAGTTCAAAATAAGTATAAAATGGTAAACGAATTACAATATTGATCAAGAAGTATATTTGAAACAACCGAATTAATCATTTGAGTCTTGAATAATTCCATTTTTATAAACAGGAACATAAAATGGCGAATAATTCTTTTTTATTGGCGATCAATTGTGCCGAGTTTCATATTTTTAATTTTTTCGTCGTAAACATCGTGATGAGATTGAATTCGTTGATTGTTTTTTATAACCAATGTGTCGGGTTCACCATAATAAGGGAAGCCCTCGGTTGAGTAGTTTAATGTTATCAACATTGGTGCTATTTCCTTAGCCTGATTAAACTTGAGATATATATTTTTTTAAAGCAAACTAGGTAAATAGGACATTTAATAGAATGCATTTTATAGAAACTAAATGAAACCAATTTAATAATTTATAGAACTTTTAGTTTCATAAATATTAATTAAACTACAGATAAACAACTTATTAAATAAATTATTTGTAATATATTTTTATAATATTTTAATAATAATGATAATCTGCACTAAATGCTATTATTACTATCTCCAAGGGAAATGAATCCATCCACCGGTATAGTGCCTCGGTATTAATAGGTCTGATGACTTGATCACTCGATCTTTCCAGTCTGTAAAAATATATATAAATTATATTTAAATTTTTGTTTTTTTTGTTACTCATTAAATCGTCAGTAACTTACCTTTATCCACTCCTCTATTTATACAGTTAGAATATCGATCGAACGTATGAAATATTCTGAAAAACTTTATAAATGACCAACTAGGTCCGGTTCCTTTGTTTCTTTTTGATCAATATGTATGAAATTCTCTTATATTTTTTATGTTATTTTATAGAAATAAGCACTATGAGCATTTTTTAGTTAAGATTTAATTAAACAAAATTGATATTAGGTCTAAATTTAAATTACTTTCTTAATAGGCGCAACCTTTTAAAGTAACTTCTCAGCATAGAAATTTATAAATTAAAGAGAGAAAAAGGATAATAATTTGGATAAAATTATACTTAGACAACATGATGCCATCAGGTTTGCCTACCAATTCACTGTGCCTTAAAACGCGGGATGTCCACGGTAGATCTAAAAACTTAAGTATGTCTCTTATAGTTTTCCTTGGTTGCAACACAAGAGTCTCGTAATGAACAGATTTACAAATATTGACTCCAAGGGCTGTGCATATTTCATACATTTGATGAACCCCTGCGTTCCACATGCTAAGAGATTGCTTGTAGTCTTCAACGTTCCAACCAGTTATCGTTACCTTACGAGTCACTACCGATTGAACTACCGCACGTCCATCTCGTATCATGAAAATAAACTTAGCATGAGGAAATATACGAGCCACGAAATCAGCTGTTTTCATCACAAATGGGTCTTTGTTACAAAGTCTTTTCTTCCTTTTCTTCACTTTTTCACCACTCTTGTGGATTTTGGAAATTATGTTTTTTTTCTGATTAATTTGTGTTATAGATTCCAAATCGTCGATATTATTATTGACACCTTCGGCATATAACTTCATTTCTCTATCCACATAATCAGAATTCGAATCGGAATATGAAGTATCCATAGTTGAAGGGGTATCGATTTCGTCTCTTCCCCGCTGACTTAAGATAGTTATTATAAAGTCACCTACTGCAGAATCTAAAACTTTATCTGTTATACGGGCCTCTAACAGTCTTTGGGCCTCCGTTTTAGATGAGGCCCAATTTTTTAGCATAAAAAGTAAACGCGGTATTACACGCGTCTCCTCTCCACATTCTACAAATGGATGTGCATCTAACACTGCCCGCATCAAAGTAGTGCCACTACGAGGCATGCCCCCAACAAATATGAGCGGAATATGATGTCGAAATTGTTCCTTTTGCCGCTGAAAATTCTCTATTTCTGATAAAATATCATCTTCGTCTGTAAAACCTTTTAAAAAACTTTTATTGTTTTTTTGATCCTCTGGGTGTTTATAATTTTTATTAATATGATTATCTAGCATCTCTTCAATTTTGTTATATATTCCCGGTGGATTATATAGCTGATATTGATTTAATGGGCTTTTAAACGTTGAATCATCGGCATTGAAATCAACCACTAAGCAAGAGGTTGTATTATAGCAGCGGTTTGAGGGGCTAATTACTTTGACAAAACCTAATAGAAAAGGCGATGTTACCCATAGAACAAAAGCAAAAATTAGCAAAAAAATTATGTTGTAGGATGAAATTGTCGGATATTTGCGACAAAGAAAATTGCGGGAAGCATGAGTCATTAGATTCATAAAGAAGTATATAGGTGCGACATAATTGTGATGTGCCACCTTTTTCCAACGCATATAATATTGATGCTGACTTTTATTTATTTCTAAACAATTGAATCATATGTATATTTAGATAGAAAGGCATTTGCTAAAACGTGATTTATCATGGGATCAGCAAATATTCATAGATTATTCTATTTGAAAATATATGACAAAAAATGTTTATTATATATAGTATTTATAAAAATTTGTTTATTATTAAAAAAAACATAACATTTCCAAATATATTTAGGTTAAAAAAAAATTAATTTACAATTAAGAGATCTTATATATTTTTTAAAAATTTAAATGACATTTCTAGAATAAATAAATTTTTTTTTAAAATTTTTTAAAAAAATCTGACAAACAAAATCAAAATTAACATCAAATTGAAATTATACAAAATTCTTATATAAAAATATTTGTAAATTATGACTATTAAATTTTGCACTAGAGGTTTATATTTTTAGTGTGATCTATAGCTTAGAACTAAATAAAAAATTAATTTTAAGGAAGATTTGGGGTTTTTGTTAAGAATTATAGTTAAATTTAAACATACCATTAAAAACACATTGTTTCATATACCCAGCAACAAAGGAAAAATATCCCCTGATAGTCTTAACCCACCCTTTAAATTTAATATCTTTCGTTTTAATTTTTATCATTTGTAATATTGAAATTATAGAAGATAAACCAAATTTTTTTAGAAAATTATGGTAATTGATACATGCCTTCGAAAAGAACCATGGTAGATTTTTATATATTTGGGCATATATGGGGAATTTATATAACTAAAAATTCAATTATTTTTAATTAACAATAGGAGTTTTTTTCGAGTATAGTGTGTCCCCGAAGGTTTTCAAAATTTTATAAACGCTATTAATGAGTAGGATACGACATATAAGAAAGTGAAAAAAAAACTAAGTCCATTGTCGATAGGGGAGACCGATATTTTCCATAAGAAATTGAAGGACTATAAAAAATATGAAGCAAATCCCAAATAAATTAAACGTAGTTTTTATCTTGTAGAAATTAATAATTCGCCAGAACATTGGTTTAGAAATTTGTCGTTCAAATTTATCATTAATTCATGGCTCCATGGAAGCCTATTTATCATTTATAATAGTATTTTTATTAGTATTTTATTTAAGTCGTTTTTAAATATATTTTTTTGGATTTAACATTTATTTAATGCTTGTAAGCTGCAATCTGTTTTTTCCAGCAATGTTTTATTTTTTCAACTTATAATCATTATTTGAACGTATACCGGGAATCAGACAATTTTGTCATGAACATTTGAACTTAATATAACTCATATTAGTTTTTCCATAGATTTTTTATATAAATTATAAATGATCCAAAGGTTGACGAAATTGTCTACAATTCATAAGATAGGTCTGAAATACATTTCCAATAAAATCAGATTTTTAAATTTAAAAAAATGTGCTCAAAAAATGATTTAAAGTTGAAAAAAACACATTGCCGCTATCACATATATATTTATAGTATTTTTTTTTAAATACTCGGGCCGGGTCGAATATTTTAAATAGCTCTTATCTATAAAAATTATAAATAAATATAATTATATATTAAAATATTTTTTAAAAAAATCCAGGTAGGGCTTGTAAATATAAAACCTGGACCGGGCTGAAAATTTAAGAATAAACCGGGCCGGTTAGTGCAAATAGTACCTCTGCAGGTTTCTAATTTAAATAGAATAACTATTTTTTTCAGTTAATGTTAAATATCGCATGGTGCGATATTGATGCAACCAAAATGTGATATGATCGAGATAATCAATTTTTATTCCTAATATTTATATTTAAAAATAGTCATTTTCGAAGAGCGTCTGTGGCCTAGTCGGATGAGTGCGTGTATCTCAATCCGGTATTTCTAGGTAAGAATCCCAGCAAAGAGATCATGTTGTTGTCTGAAAGTAACTGGGTGATCACTTCTTGGGGATGATATATATGTTAAAAAATTAATGGGTCTTATTATATATTTTTTTTAAATTGGTCTTTTTTTAGCAATTATATGTTGACTATGCGATATCTAACATTAACCTTTTTCCCAATTGTATTTCTTTTAAGGATAAAATTCCTTAAAATTCCTGATTTTAGAATGGAAATTTATGGATGAAATCATGTAAAATTAAGTAATTTAAATAATTTTTTTTGTTTTTTAAGGATAAGTTCTGACTTTTAGTTTGAAAATTTAAGGACGATATCTGTAAAATTAAGGAATATTTAAATACATGCCATTATTTTCATATAAATTTAAATATATTATATGGTTGCATCAATTCAGAGAAACTTTTATCACTAGCGAATGTCATTTTCGCAAATGGATTTTATAGCGAAACTTGCGAATCCATATTAGCGAATACTATTCAGCGAAAACAATATCGAGAATCAAATATCGCTATAGCAAAGTCATTATAGCGAAATCCAAATCGCGAAGACAATATAAGGAAAACTATTTAGCATAACATATATCGCGAAGATATTATAGCAAATTTTAATCACGAGATCAATATAGCGATAATTGCTAATATGACTATTTTATTTTGAAACATATATTTTTATGATCATATTAATTGAATAATATTTTTTAAAAAATTGACAGATCGATTCAATGATAAAGTTTTAATATTCTTTTAGCCTTATATAATGATTAGTGAACTATTTTGGTTTATAAAATTTATTAATGGAATAAATCTTTTTTTCCTATCCTGCCCTATGCTTTTCCTCGAAGTCTCATTTTATAAGAATCGTGCACAATGGCTTTATTAATTTATTTAACAATTCATAAGTTAGGATTCAAATATGTTATAATACATTTCCGGTAAAATCAGATTTCTAAATTTAAAAAACCTGCTTATGATTTAGTTTAAAAAATAACACATTGTCGAAAAAAACATATTGCCGCTAACATATATATCTTTTGGGAGCAGGTTAATTTGAGTAAAACCAGGGTTTTTATATAAAGGTGAATTTTTTATTGAATTGATTGATTTAGATAACAAAGATAACAGAAAATAAGTTATTGAAATATTATTATTTCAAATAATTTTAAAAAATTGATGATAAATAGTTTTCAATAGTGACTTTCGAACGACATCATCTATGCTATGGCAACCCGATATAGATTTAAATAGTTTAAAAAAATGTTTCACAATGCACGTATAAATAGGAGTTATCTATAAAAACTTTTAACAGGGTTAATAAGCGAAAAACTTTAGAAATTTCTAGCAATTAACTTAATTATTATAGGTTAAAATTTTTTTATGTAAAGGTTTAATTTTCAAAAGAAAATGCAAAATATTTTACTTCGAAAGGTATTGGTTATGATAACAATCTTAAAGTTTCGGAGATATAGAATGATATAGCTAACTTAGACATGTCTTCAAAATATAATTTTTTGGATACCGTTTTTATAAATAAAAAAAAGATTACAAAATTAAATAATTCGCAAAAATCGATAAATATTATTTCCGTTTCATAAAAAAAATTGTGCCTTTTAGAATAAGGCTAATAAAAAAAAATTATTCCATCATTATTTGAAAATAATGGATTGGTTTATAATTACTTTTTTAAATATTTGAATTGAAATAGAATACTCACTTAATAGAATTTATTATAGTAGAATTAGATTAAAAACTCAGCACCTGAAGTCGGTTATGAATCGGATTTAAAATATCTAATTTAAAACTTTTTTTAATATAAAAATTGAATATTTATAAATAGAATTTATTTTTTTAGTGCATACAATTAGGCCAAGTCAATTGCAAATTTACCAAATCTCTAGTAGGATATAATTTAAAAGATTGTCTAACTGACGAAATAAATTTAACCTATGTGATTATAATTTAAAAATTGATTTTTTATTAAAAAGGAGCATTTTTTGGTATGAATAAAATGCTGAATCGGCCAAAATAAAATGGTTCCACGTCAATTCGGCGTGGAAAATTCTGTGCACGACAATATGGCGGGGCGACAATTCAGCGCAGCGACAATTCGGCGAAGCGTCAATTTGGCCCATATTTATCACAGATGCAATTTATTATAAATTACTTAGTATAAAAATATAAGGATGATTAAATAGAAGTCATTTTGATTGTTGGTATTATTAATTATTTCTTCATATTTATTTTTACAAAAATCTCAATTTTATTTACTTGAATGTGTAATATCGAAAAAAATTAACTAATATTTTTACCTATTTCTTTAAGACAAATCTATCACATTATAAGGTATGTTGATTAGTAGCCAATATTATGTAAGCCTGGAGAATTTGCGCATAGAAGGAAGAAAGAAAGATTTGACCTCTCTCTCTCTAATCTTATATATTATTTTGGCTACAATCTTAATCAACCGTTTTTACGTGATAAGTGATAAAAGCGCTTTCGCCCTCTGGTTTTGGATACAACAGAGCTACGGTAGGTTTTCCTCAAAAATCCATCAAACTGGATAGTTAATTAAGGGAAGAAAATGAGGAGCCCTTCTCACGTTTGTAGGCAAGCTGCACATACTTGTACGTGCAACAGTCCGAGAACTGTTGCTTAAACGTTTATGGGCTAATAAACAAAAAGAATTGGGCAAAACAAAAGGCTATACCCAAGAACTGCAAAAATAATTTAATTACTTTAAGGAATCGTTTTTAAAAATAGACCCAATATAACCCCTAATATAATGATATATTTTGAGATTTTCTCTTTTTGTTCAACAATTTTAAAGAATTCAATCATTATTTTTCTCAACAATAAAAATAAAAGTTTGCATTCTAAAAAACATAAAATCCAAATCACCTTTTTTTTTATTTTTCCGCCTAACTATTGACAAAAAATTAATAATTATATTTTATTTTGGGATTTTCTCTTTTTGTTCAATTTTAAAGAATTCAATCATTATTTTTCTCAACAATAAAAATAAAAGTTTACATTCTAAAAAACATAAAATTAAAATTTCCTTTTTTTATTTTTCCGCCCAACTATTGACAAAAAATTAATAAATATAATTATATTTTATTGTCTCTTTTTGTTCAACAATTTTTAAGAATTCAATCATTATTTTTCTCAACAATAAAAATAAGTTTATATTCTAAAAAACATAAAATCCAAATCTCCTTTTTTTTATTTTTCCGTATAATTATTGAC